AAATTTGGTTTTTGCTATTACTATCACTTCAAAAGTAGGTGAAAGGTTTTTTAATCTACTATCTGCCAAGTCCTCCTCAACTGAAAATTATAACCAAATTAAGCCCTCATGCTTCAAAACATACACCTGTATGTACTAAATTAACTTCTCTCCTAGAAATTAGGTTATTTACTTAAGTGACATCCTTGAAACAGAACCTAAATAGTGTCTCAAACAGTTTCTGTGCTTTGGTTTAAAAAAGGCAAAGTGACAATAATAATAGTATCGAACCCAACCAGAAATTTAAGGCGTGCTTCTAGCCTCAAAACTTGAAATCTGAAACTTTTATTCAATTTTAAAGGTAGCCTGGAGCAAGGAAATTTCTTAAATAAATGGTGCTTGGAAAACCTGACAGGTACAAGGAAAAGAATGAAACCAGTCCACCATCTCATACCATAAAAATTCAAAATGGATTAAAGACTTGCATGAAAATATAAAATTCACAGAAGAAAACAAGCAATGTGCTCTTTGATATTGACTTTTGAGGTATTTTCAGGATTTGACTCCAAAGGAAACAAAAGAATAAATTAGAGAAATGGAGCAAACTAAAAAGCTTCTGTATAGCAAAAGATACTATCCATAAAATGAAAGACATCCTACTGAATGAGAGACAATAATCTGAAAACCATTTATCTGAACAGAGAGTTAATATCCAAAATATATATTGAAATTATCATTGACAACAAAATAACAAACAACTAATTAAAAAATTGACTGGAAGTATGAATAGACATGCCTCCAAAGAAGATGCACAGATGGTCTATAGGCACATGGAAAAAGGCTCAACATTACTAATCATTAGGGGAAAATAAGCCAAAACCACAGTAAGGTATCACCTCACATCTATTAGGATGTCTATTATCAAGAAGAAAAGAAGTAAAAAATGTTAGCAAATATGTGGAGAGAAGGAACCCATGTACACTATTGAAGGGAATGAAAACTGGAGTGTAAGCTGGTGCAGCCATATGGAAAGCCGTATGAAGAGTCTTCAAAAAATGCAAAATAGGCAGTTCATCTGATCCAATATCCCTCTTCTGGATATTTACTTTAATAATACAAAAACTCTGATATGAAGAGAGGTATACACCACCATGTTCACTGCAGCATCATATAAAACAGACAAGATCTGGATACAACCTATCAACAAATGACTAGCTAAATAAGTTGTGATTTATATACACAATGAAAGTTCTACTACTCATCTGTTAAAAAAGATGAAATCCTACCATTTGTAACAACCTGAAAGGAACTAGAAGGTCTAATATTAGTGAAATGTTAGAGGAAAACAAACACCATATGATTTCATTCATACGTGATATACAAAGAAACAGAACAAATAAATAGAACAAAAAGAAACTTTTGAAACCTAGCATCAAATTACTGGTTATTAGGAAGAGAGAACAGGGTGGAGGATTAATTGATTAAAAGAGGTCAACTGTATGGTGTAGGACAGAACTGGAAAATAGTGGTGAACTTTTTTTTTTCATTCCGTAGTGGAGACAGAAGCTGATTTATAATGATGTATACCTGTAATATATAATGCAATGTTACATCAACAAAAAAAAAAACAAAGGGTCAGTCCTTAGATAGCAGCTCCCCTGGAAGCTGTCTGTATTGTAATTATTTCTTTGACTTTTAATCATAATTGAATTGTATGTCTTAAAGTAGAACAATTTAAGTAGTATGGAAGTAATACAGAAAAGAAATAATGAAATTGGGAGATGGCCACAGAAAAATATGACATGATTTTAGGAGGCAGAGACAGGAAAGAGGGACAACTCAAGTGCTGGCAGTGATGAATATGCTTACTCAAGGACTAGACAACAACAACCCTGCTTCACTTTATTTCCTTTCACCCCTTTGTTTGAATTTGCTTCAGCCATCATTCCCATCCATTTCACTTTGCTATAAATCAACATTCATCACCCTTTAAAATCTTTCTTCTACTCTCACTTACCCTACAAACTGGTTCAACTCTTGGAACTGGGTAGATGACTCATGCTCCAGTAAAGAGTACAAAAAACATTAAGCGCTGGCAATTATGAAATAAAGGTATATATATTTCAATGAAATCAATATACCCATAACTTTTTGGGGCATTTAATAAACTTTCTGTTTTGCTAAACCATCTGTTTACACACACACACACACACATATAAAGATAAACTACAAATACTCATTTTTCAATTTGAAAAGTTTTGTTTTGGGGAAAAAATATAATATGCTTCAAAAAAATCTAAAATGAAAAAGCAGTTTTTCTCATACATATAGATTTGAAATGATAAAGAATTCAAAAGAATCAACTCGCTGACAAACATTTATAGCACTGAATTGCCTAAAATGAAATTTAGAACATTTTCTGACATTTAAAAATTTTGTTTCATACTTTCTGTTGCAGTATAGAAAATTTACTTCAGTTTGTTTTATATAACTCTTGTATCCATTTTGTTGTTGTTGCATATTTCATATTCTCAATGTTATTTTCAGTACAATTTCAATTATAGTCATCAAAACTTTTACAGTGAAGGAATACTGTAAATTTTTAATCAGTTCCTCTTTGGTCTCCTTTATAATAAAAGCACATAGCATCTTATTTGGATTTTAGAAAAGTCTTTTAAAAAATGCTATGAAATATGAAGAAAGACCTTTTAATGCTTAATTTTGATAGTATAACCAAATATTAACAAAATTCTTATGCTTGGCTTAAACAAAGAATATCTTCCCATACCCATTTTTCATTCTACTCATTGTCTTCTAATATGAACATAGACACTACCTTTTCCTATACCAATTTGATACAAAGAAATTCAGTCCTTTGAAATTTTATACTAATTGCAATACTCATTTTTTGTATCAGTTGATCACAGATAAATTTCTGAGTCTAACTAAGCAATACAAATATATTATAATTCCAGAAAGATTCATCAACAAACAACAAAGGTTTCTGAACACTAACAAGTAACCAAAATTAAAAAGGTGTAAAACCAGTATAAAACATGTTATTATTTTTAAGTTAGATAAGTGATTTATGAAAGATAAATAACTGCTCTTAAATTCCCAAATTTACCGGCCCTCCCTGGTGGCGCAGCGGGTTAAAGCACAGCACTGAGAAGCTAAAGCCACTTCCACATGAGCTGGATTCCTGCTTGCCCCGGAGGTGACCACATGGCGTGGCAGACCTCTCCTGACCTGCCTGCTGCTCCCCTCAGCAGTGTACTTCGTTGATCTGCCTGTTCTGCTCCCCACTCTGTCTCTGGTGAAGGCTCTCACTGCCCCTGTGCCTCTGGCCTGTACCCGAGTTCTGTAAGCACAAAATAAATAAATCTTAAAAAAAAAAAAATCCCCAAATTTACCTAGCTGATATTTGAAGAGTTTTAGTTCAAACTGAACCAAATTGGAAAATAACAACAATAAAATACAACTGGATCTAGCCTTTTCTGAAAAATAGTAATTTAAAGTTAAGAAAAATATATATCCATATGTTCTATCTTTAATCCTTGAGAAACACACACTTTCTTTTTTCAATTCATTTGGGCTTTAAAAAAACGAGTATTATACATATATATATATGTATGCACATATATGTGTGTGTGTGTGTGTGTATATATATATATATAAAATGATCAACTACATTCTAATATAGCTAATGTCATGCTAGGAGGTGGCAGGAGATGGGCTAAGGAAATAAGAATAATTTTAACTTAACTTAGTCAAGTTTTATAAATGCTATTTTTCCAAACCTTATTTCAATCAACTTAGGTGAAAAAATATCACTTAAAAGGATTATTTTTTGTTCTGTGTATGTGTAAGATGACTGATACTACACCAAACAAAAAGCATTCTTGAATCCATTCTTTGGTGAAGGTGGTAATTTAAAATCAGAAGTGATCTAAAGTATTAATTAAATTTTATAGGAAATAGGGGAAAATATTAGAAAATTATTTTGTGCTACCCACAATCAGACTGATTAAATTAAATCAAATCGTGAGGTACAATTATTTTTACCTCAATATTTTGTAAAAAATATATTTTTACAATTTTTTAACCAAGTGTTTTACCACTCTTAGCTTTTGTTTAATCAAAAGATTAAAATTCACTTTAGTTACTAAACAGTTTTTAAAATATTACTACTTAGATATAACTAACAAGTTCATTTTATAAATATTCAAATTTTTTCCTTATAAAAAGTCATATCCTCTCCAACAATTTTTAAAAATTGTACAAAAATACAATAAAATAAATCCCTTTTTTTGTCTTCTCCTGGTTCCTTATCCTGTAGTTTTGGTCACCTAAGCCTATACAAATAATTTCCAATTTACCAAAATTTGTTTTCTGAAGCAAAACAGAACCAGAATAAACAGATTAATTTCTTTTAGATGTCATTTGCTACCGTTGATTATTCAGTAATTATTTATTCTTGTAATCCTTTACTTCCTGTGAGCTCACGTTTTAATGATGTCTTTTTAAATAAACAGTGGAAGTACAGGATACTTTCTTGGTACCTCTCATCCCTAAAATCCCATTAATCCTAAATCCTTAATAAAAGCAACTTGAGTAAGGTAAAAAAAAAAAAAAAGTTATATCCCAACACAAAGGCAATCAAACAAGAGAGTGGCTTATAACTGATTCCCTCCCCCCCCCCTTTTTTTTTTAAATTTTACTACCAAAAAGAAGAAGAAATAGAAGAAAAAAGGGAGAGTAGGGAAGGAAGCCGGAGTGGGGGAGGCAGGGAGAGGAGGGGAGGGGAGAGGATAAAAGAAAGAAAACTCTCTGTGAGGTGGCCAAAATCCCAGGAAGCATTTCCGCATAAAAAGAGTTAAAGCGCAGAGGGCTCTGCTAAACAGTCAGTGACCATTTGCAAGCCTTCTAGGTATATTCGCCACAGACACATTATCAGATTAAAAAAACTACAAACTGAGCTGAAACCTTTCTTTGTCCTAGTCCAACCTCTTCCTCCTGTGATGTCATACTACAAATCTAGCAAGCCTTTCTTCTTTTCAGAGAAAGCCCAGCGCACTATACAGCTAGCTACGGAGGAAAAAGCCTTGATTCAGCAAGAGCTAACATGCTTAGGAATTTATTTCAGAACCTTTAAGACTCCTACTTACCACCTTCTGGGATCTTCTACAAATACACCAAAAAGGAAATCTTCACTTAAAAGAAGTAAGAAGAAATGAGAACAAATTGGGAATGTTTAAGTCTCTGAAACTCTGCGATGAAAAGCAAAAGAAGACTGCTAAACTTTAGTTTAAAAATTCTGGAATGTAAAGAAGTTTTAATTTTAGAATATTAATTTTGACTACTGAAATAGTTTACCTACTAAGTAGTTTATAACCATTTCAAAACAAAGCTTTTCTTTACATTTAAAATTCAATGGATTGGCTTCATTAACTACATTTTTAAAACATTGCTCTTCAGTTAAACTAAGTCCTGGATTCACGGATTTTGTGAAGACAAGAAAATGATACTATTTTCCTTTTGAAGGAACCAAGTGGAAACTACAGCAACAAATTTCATGTTTCTTTTGGAGATTTTGGAGAAAAAGGAGCTATTTACAAAAGCAAGCAAAAATCCAAAGGATCTGCAAACACTGGAAGTTATAGTTTCCAGAATCTGAGAATACCGAAGGAGACTGCAGCTGACCAAAGGACTTCAACACAGTAAACTGGCTGTCTTTATAATGGTAAGCAGTAACAGCTCTGACTGCTTTGATGACTCCTTTAAGTACACTTTGTATGGGTGCACATTTAGCATGGTGTTTGTGCTTGGGTTAATATCCAACTGTGCTGCCATTTATATTTTCACATGTACCCTCAAAATAAGAAACGAAACTACAACGTACATGATTAACTTGGCAATGTCAGATTTGCTTTTCGTTTTTACTTTGCCCTTCAGGATTTTTTACTTTACGACACGAAACTGGCCATTTGGAGATTTACTTTGTAAAATTTCAGTGATGCTGTTTTATACTAATATGTATGGAAGTATTCTGTTCTTAACCTGTATTAGTGTGGACAGATTTCTGGCAATCGTCTATCCGTTTAAGTCAAAGACTCTAAGAACCAAACGCAACGCAAAAATTGTTTGCATTGCTGTGTGGTTTACTGTGGTCGGAGGAAGTGCACCAGCAGTTTTTTTTCAATCTACCCACCCTCAAGGTAACATCTCAAACGCCTGCTTTGAAAATTTCCCTAAAGACACTTGGAAAACTTATCTCTCACGGATTGTAATTTTCATAGAAATAGTGGGATTTTTTATCCCTTTAATTTTAAATGTAACTTGTTCTAGTATGGTGCTAAGAACTTTAAGTAAACCTGTTACATTAAGCAGAAGCAAAATAAACAAAACTAAAATTTTAAGAATGATTTTTGTACATTTGGTCATATTCTGTTTCTGCTTCGTCCCTTACAATATCAACCTTATTTTATATTCTCTTATGAGAACACAGACTTTTGTTAACTGCTCAGTGGCCAAAGCTGTAAGGACCATGTACCCAATCACTCTCTGCATTGCTGTTTTAAACTGTTGCTTTGACCCTATAGTTTATTATTTCACCTCTGAGACGATTCAGAATTCAATAAAAATGAAAAACTGGTCTACTAGGAGAAGTGACTCCAGATTTTCTGAAGTTCAAGGCACAGAGAACTTTATTCAACATAGCTTACAGACCTTAAAAAATAAGATATTTGACAACGAATCTACAATATAAGCTGACTAAATAAAACCACTGGGACAGAACCTCCAAGTTCCTCCAACTGTGAAAATGTTTTTCTTGGACAACTATTTCTACACCTTTCAAAGAAAATAAACAAGTGGACATTTTAAAGTTTTAGTGTAAAAAAATTGTATCCAATGTATTAAACATTAAAATGTACTCTATTCTTATATGCATTCCATCCTATTTTTATGAGCCCTTTTGATTTGTAGCTTTCTCTTTATTAAAAAAGCCCTTAAAGAGTTGTTCAAAACTTAAAAGTGACTATGATTTAAATCATGTGGTGATCATCTGGACTGTCTGAATTTATCAGTAATTTTATACTGAATGATTTACAAATATTAAAAGCTTCACTTAAATATTTAATATTTTTACTTAATATATATCTGATTTCTGTTTCAACTTGAATGGAAACTACTAACCTTATCACTAAATTATAATAACAAATATAAGAAGAGTAATTTGAAAAGAATGTGGTTTTCAAACTTATTTTAAGGTTAAAAGTGTAGTCTTTGGTAGAATAGTAACATTAACACTCAGGAACATGAGAAGTTACACTGATTGATAATATTAAGGATTTTGTTTTTGTAGGCAGTTCACAAAAGCAAATGCTAAAAAATAGTAATTTTTAAATTACTATTTTGATCCATTTATTTGGTAGAATATCAACTTCAAAATGTGACAAGAATTGAGCAGGAGTACACTAACAAAGTTGTTTTGCTAAGCAGACTCTTAAAAGTTAAAATACTAGTAGAGATATATTTTAAAGGTATTTCTATGTCACAAATAAGTTAAAAAACACCACAGTAAGATAGTAAGTACAATAGTAGGTACTCATGAAATAAAATACACACACCACTTTCTCTTCTCTTTTGACCATTTAAAGTCAAATACTGAATAGTTCAAATATTATTTGAAGTAGACAAGATTCTGTTTGCCAAAATAATGTATATCTACGAACATAGTTTTCCAGATAAAAAAGCAGCAGCAGCAAATATTGGTGCAATCACATTTTTCATTTCATTAAACATATAAAGCCTTCCTCTGAGTTATAAGATATATAATCTATATATAAGATATATAATTACGCTGTGATACCAACTGCAATAAAATTTGTCATTTTCTAAGATGCCTTCATTTTCAAATTCAAGCAGTTCTTAAAATTTAGCTGAAAAAGAATGCTTTTATTTGAGAAAATAATTCAGCATTCAACCTATGTTATTCTTACAGTATACTTTCAAGTTCCAAATATAATTTTGGAAAATATTCCCAAGATTTTAATTTGCTTCTTGTTTTTCACTGGGTCAGGGATTCAATGACTTCAGATAAATTTTAGTCTTTTACTCGATAAGTAAACTCAATTCCTTTTTCTTTTGTTTTCTATTTTGTTCTTATTTCTTATTTTTTGCATTATTCTTCATTTGGTGCATTTTTTCATCCCACTTGTAATCCCCATGGACTTCCCATCACCAATTCACCCGTGTGCCATCATTTCAATAAAATCACAGTAGAGGATTTTTTTTCAAGAAGTCATCATTTTCTTTAGATAAATTTAAAGCAAAATTAATTCTTACAAAAAAAATGAAGAAATTAAGTACAGTCCTTTATATCCCCAAAAAATGAAACATGCTTTCAACTTACTTAAGTTACTTTTATTTCAAACTACTCCAATATATTTAGCACTCTAAGCATATACTTCTAAATTGAAAATTAATTATTAGCTTATTGATGTAGAAGTAAGAGGCAATGTAACTGTAGCAGATTTCTCAGAATTTTCCTTAGCTTAAATATCTGTAAGTGTATCTCAAAGCATAGCTATTACTTAAAAACAAAAGCAAAAAAATCATCAGTTGTTATTTCTATGTTCATTGGGAAACTTGTTCCCTTTTAACAGAAAAATTATTCAAAAGGTTTGTAACATTCTTCACAAAGTAACATAGCAATCACTAGTTTTCTAAAAATTAAAATCCTGGGTAAATCTTATCTACAAGGACAGAAAAATTAATAATGTGTCTTTTATTTATTAGTGGTACACTTTAAGATAAATTATATATTCTTATAGTTTCTTCTTTGCCCTTTACCCAGAAAGCCTATGATAAAACTGAGGATTTTTCCTTCTTGCTACCTTTTAGTGACAGCACCACATTTTTCCTCCCAAACACTGTACCCACTGTTTTACACATCTTTAATAAAGCAGTTGATAATTTAACTAATTTTTCCTTCAAAGGAAGAGAAGATGAGAAAATTTTGAGGTATGGATAGTAAGAAGCTTCCCACTAGCCAATGGATTGGTACTTTCTGAGGAAATACCAAACAAATGTAGTTAAATAAATGTTTGAAAATATATGATTGAACATAATACACCCAGAGGAAATCTTTAAAGAAACTGAAGACACTTAGCAAGGAAATCTTTAAAGAAATTGAAGACACTTTTATCAAATTCTTACTTTACATTTCTATATTCTATATGATTAAAAAGTACATTTGTGATGTCTTAATTAAAGACAATGGTATTTAATTACAAATATTGGCATCATTTACTCAGTTTGGGAATATCAATAAAAGCCAAAATATTAGCAAACTTAATTTCCTCAACTGAGAAATATTTAATTTATTAATGGTATGTAGTTAAAGATGCTAAAGCAATTATTAGCCCTGAAATTTTTGGATACATGGTATCTGCAATTTTAATATATAAAGATACTATAATTACATTGCAGAATTCCCAATATCCAACAACCCAAACATTTTTAGGGCTTATGTCAAACCAGTCCAGAATTCAAAGAAAGGGAAGATGTGACCTAGTATTCTCAGTTGTGAACAAATTTTTATGTAGAAAATTCTATACACAGTGCTTACTTCATTAAATTTTTAAAAACTTTTCTGATCAGGGCTGGGAATCAAATTATTCATTTATAATGTGACATTTTAGAAATAAATCCCAAACTAAAAGTACTAATGGGCATATTACCATTGATCAGAGTTTTTAAATAACTGACAATATTTAATTAGCAAAATTTTCTAGATATCAACATAAACATGCCCCTAAAATCACTAATTCGCAAATTTGTATTTTATCTCTTCATCTTTTTTACCTAACATATGCTATCAATTTCCTGTAAGTCATTTTTTAAAAGTATACAAAAAATATCAACTAAACAGGAGAACAGACTAAGATAGTTAAGAATATGAAATTAATTCCAAGATATCCTCTCTACTAAGCCTTTTGCCCTCCTCCCTCTATAGAAAAGAATTACTCTAATAACCTCATAAAAAGGGCAGGGAATTCATGATGAAATGACGAAAAGCAGTAGCAAAATAGAATCAAGGATTATGGACTCCAGAAGTAGAAAGAATTCATGAATTTAATAATCAGTTAAACTCAAAACCTCTTTACTCATATAAATTAAACCAATCATACAATTTTTGAAAATCCTTAAATTTTAAGTAAATATTAAGAATGAGAAATAAATAAGTAATCCATATTTATAGCCAATTTGTTGATAACAGTTATAGGGTGAATGTGTTGAATTTTATTATCTTCCTATCAAAATGCCTTCTAGTAAATTCACAATTTAAAACTGAAAAGATCTTAGAGATTACTTGATATAATTACTTCACCTTACACTGAGGAGTGGAAACCGAGTAGCTAAAAGACTAAGTAACCTGTCACATACAAGTTAAGATAGAATCAGAATAAAAACTGTTTGGACTATTTTATCTTTTTGTTTTAACTTGTCTATAATCTTTCATAGTGGCAAGAAGAATAGCACATACAAAGGTCCTGTGGGGGATACTTGGTATACTTAAGGAGTTAAAGTGAAAGTGGACAAAGGTGGAGGGCTAAGCCATATTAAAATCTGAGGGGATGTGGAGTGTTCTGTGTTCTAATAGAAAGAAACAATTGGGCATACATTTAAAAAAAATCCCTCTTATTATTAGATATGCTTTTATCTTGATCAAAAGAGGAAAAAATAAGCAAAATAAGATCTCTACTTATTCACTTTAAATTTAAAGAGATGTTCTTATCCTTTAGTTTGATTCCATCCTTTATTAAAATGTCCCTTATTGGATTATGCTAAGTGAAAGAAGTCAGAAGGAAAAAGATAAATTCTACATGCTACCAATTATTTATGTAATAAAGAATCAAACAAAGGGTTAAGACAAACATTAAAATCAACCCTTGAAAGCTGACCATAGACTCGAAGCATGGAAGAAAGGGGAGGAGTAAGAATGGGATGGGGAGGTTGTGGGGCATAAACACACTATCTGACTCGTGGGAGAGGACTATGAATGCTATGAGTGTTCTGGTGGTGACCAGCTACAATGACCATACAGATGGGGAGAAATCCTACACTGTCAAAATATTAACAAGGATATAAAACAATAGTACTTCACTATTATATAATAATAGGAATTTAAAAGAAAGAAATGTCCTTTATTAAACTGCCCCTTATCTTTCATGACATGATGGTGATGATATATGGGAAGAATGTGTTAATGTTGTTATTTGGCAAAATTAAGTGAAAAAATACATGTCTGAAGAGAATAAAAAATGGTACAATACTTATGGATCGGGATTTGGCAGTACTTAAAGCACATAACACACATAAATACAACACATATACCCTTTTACTCAGCATGGTCACTTCTAGATATTTATCCTGAAGAAAAATATTTTCAGTAACAAACACACAAGGTGCAGCATTGTTTGCAACTGCAAAATACTGGATATTAACTAAATATCTAAGCATAAAGCATAAAAGATCAGTGTAAAAAATTATAGTATGCTTTATAAACTGTTAGTATGTAAGCTTTAATAAGGAATGAAAAAGATAGTGACTTCCAGAAAGCAAGGTATAAAAGAGAAAATACAGTATATACTACCTTTTTTGGTAAGAAATAAAAACATGTCTGTCTGCTTACTTTTACAAAAATAAATAGTAAAGATATACTAAAATGTAAGGAAACTCATAAGAATGGGAAAGAGAGAAAAAAAACAACCCAGAACTACATCTGTTTTTGTGCCTGACATATAGTAGTCCCATAGTTAAAAATAAATGAAACAAAGTTCTTTTAAAAGGTAGACATCAATTCTAGTGAGGCCTTTATACAAATTAGTATTAAAGTAAGTCATTTAATCTCTGTATACTGACCTCTTTAACTTTAAAGATTTTGGGTTAGATAATATGAAAGGTCCATCTCTGTCTCATACCTTATGCGTCTCATTCTGTAATTATTATTTTTATCCATT